TAGTTTATTTCTATAACTGTATATACGGATGAATGAAAAACCTCTATACGTAACAACATAACACTGTATATGTAGAAGTGATAGAAGGAGTTGGAAATTTCCAATAAACTATGAGCCAGGAAAATCCATAGAATAACATAAAAGATAGAGTGATAGAAAGAAATGGAAAATTCCAGCATGCATGACTAACAAGAAGAAGAACATAAGTGGATTGTTTATAATCCTGTCGATACAGAAAGACATTCCTTATGACTACATGTTAATAATATGTAGGTCATAACAGAGTTTTAAGGTACACAGCAAGAATATCTCAAAAAGATTTGATGAAGGCGTTTTCTGGTGTGAAACATTCGAAGCCTAAACAGGTAGCGTTAGATACGGAAACCTTGAAAGAAGACGGCAAATTTTATTTTTCGACTAGTGAAATTTTAAGCGACAATTAGATTCGACCATATTTTAGTCGACTGGAATGAGAAAGGTAAATTTTAACCATGCTAGAGCCATCAGCTGATCACTATCATTAGGGCAAAGTTGTGAAAAATATTGTCCCTAGCAATGGTGATGAAGACGAAGAAATTGACCCAGAACTAGAAGCATTAGAAGAAAACTTTCAAGATACTGAGAGTGCTGTTGAAGAAATGACTTTACTGAAAAATTTTTCGATGATTGCCAAGATGGCATTTGAACCATCGTTTTTGATAAATTTCACAGTTATAATATCTTCTACGGTTTCGAAGCACAACAAATAAAGCATAGAAAAGACTCGGGTTTACTCAATTACGTTCATATGAAACTAAACAGATTGGCAGGAGTTTCCGAAAGAAATCCTATGAATAAAAATAATTGCATTTACATGAGTGCGGGTTTGCCGAGCAACACTCAAAAATAGTATGGAGACAAGGGTTTTCCGAGTACGTGCTTCCCCTTCAGGCAGGACAGACTCTAGGTGCCGGAGAGAACAAAAGTACGGGAAAGGTTTTCTTTGGCGTGACCAGCATTCCTGTTTTTTTATCATTTAAGTAAACAATTACCTTTTTCATACTAAACGATATATAAGTTATGCGCAGCCTTTTAGGCACATCAATATGATCATCTAAGATGAACTAATCAATCATAGCTCCATCGAAGACAACAAATGTTAATTCATTAGTTTGTTTAGAGCATATATGCATGAAAATATATCGTACTTATGTAGCAAGCACTGTATATATTGTCCGAAATAAAAGGTGAGTGGCCATTTTTTCAATAGCTTTTGATAAGAACAAGATAGAAAGCTGTGATTTTCGTCATTTGAAAGAGCGATGTCCGGGCCATCCGATCGGAACAGAACATATTAAGATGAAAGATGCTTTTTTAATAGGTATCTTTCAATAAACACTTTTGCTTTGAGTATTTTCATCAATTTTCACACTAATTTCAACTCAAATTATGTGAAAATGTACCTCCAATTACCCATTTTCTGCTATAAAATGATCACATATTTCATTATCTCTCAACCTCCTATTCTAAACGGACTTAAAGAAAGCAAATGTTAATTTTATAGCGAAAAACAGGTGATTTGAGCTACATTTTCACATAATTTGAGTTGAAATTATTGTGAAAATTGATGAAAATACTCAAAGAAAAAGTGTTTATTCAAAGATACCTATAAAAAGGCATCTTTCGTCTTCATATGTTCTGTCTCGATCGATGATCCGGACATCGCTCTTTCAAATGGTGAAAACCGCAGCTCTTCATCTTGTTCCTATCAAAAATTATTGAAAAAATGGCCACTCATCTTCTTTTTTTTCGGCCAATAGATTTTATTCAATATATTATATTAACAAATAAAAGATTGTTACAGAGTGTCATCGAATCAATGCCTAGCTCAACATAGCACATGTAACACGCCTATTTCACACCAAGCAAGTAATTAGCTGTAAATTTATTTCTAACTCCTTGCATCATTTTTTTCTAAACTTCACTTGATTTCTTCTTTTTAAAATTTGTTAATATTTGTTCTAGGTTTACTTGTATTATGTACTTTCAGTTACAATGAAGAGTCTTGATGAGTGTGTATATTTCAGTAAACAACACGAAACGAGTTAACGCAAATGGCGCTGCATTTATTTTTATTAATTATTTTACTGAGCACATCATCTATACTTTGAATTATTTTCACTTATTCGATTACTGAAAAGCAAGATTTGAGACAAGTAGAGTAAGATTGGCTTTCCTTCAAGACATAAGGTCATGTTTCTTTCGATTGACTTAAATACATTTAAGATACTGAAGCAAGTTCTGCATATCATGAGCTAGCAGATTCGTAGTTCGATTGAAAAGCGTGATGCTCGCTAATTTCGTTACTCACCCCTTGATCACCTTCGTCTCACACTACAAATAGCTATTCTTAGACAAAATAATTTACCAACTACTTAGCGATTTGTACTAGTCAATAGTCAGCTAATATCAAATCGGAATCTGAGGTTCGTAGTTGCAGGATTGATCAAACAAGCATCATCTGCAAGAATGAATTAATGACTGAATACGTTCGAAAACTTTAGAAGAACTATCATCCTACAAATATAATAATTGGGCATTTTCTAAATAGACGAGAATTTCAAGTTGCTCTCATTGAGAAATCTAAGATTAAAGTTTTACCGGTATCTGAAATGGTTTATGATATTTCTAAAGATTCCTGACCTATACTAACGTATGAATCAAAGTAAATAACCAGACTGAAAGGTAATTTAGCTAGTGTATCACATTCTCCAACGAATATTTATAATACTTTATTCTACCCACTGGATAAGATAGCTCTAGATACTTTTCGTGCAATCTATTATCGAGATAATGCATGTGTCGACTTTGGAACGGATGCAAATGGAGAACCAATGCTGTTTTAAAGTCAATTAAAATCATGGCTATGGTTTAGATTCAACTTTTCTTCTTCAGTACTCGTATCAGGAAAACTTCTGTGGGAGAATATTAGCTGTATTAGTTCTACCTGCGTTTGAATGAGAAAAATATTGAATACAGCGAACTCTTAAAAGAAAAATGTCACATTCAAACTTGTATTGCCATTTTTTTATAATAAAACATCAACAAAAACCAACAAGAGGGTGTTTCAGTGGCTGTGACTGTGAGCTAGCATCAGAAGAAATCTTGCTCACAGCCACAATCACATTTTGTTTCCTAAATGATTCCAAGTTCAACGACAATGTTAGTCTGTTCAGGATCCTGATGTAATCCTGTTTCGAATTTTGCTATGTCCATGGCTACACATTTCCTTCAGCGCTGACTTGTTTTCTTAGGAAAAAGACACAAATTCTTGAAGGATCTGAAACGAAAAGACCAAACATTCTCGCTAATGTAGTATAATTTTGTTCCCTATCAGGATTCGGAACTTATTACAAACAAATAAAGCGATTCTGCTAAAATCTTACAAAACTTGTTCTAAGTAGAAATTTACGATGTTGTTATTGTGTCATTCACTTGACAAAAAACAGATTTTTTGTAATTTTTTCCTGAAGAAAAGTTTTTGAGATTATTAAAATAGGACGTTCATTTTAATTTGGTTATTTCAATACCCATTCATTGAATAGCTGTATTTAGACTGTAGTCAATTTCAGATTAAAGCAGTTCCTAGCTTAATTTATGCATGAAAAAAATTATAAATATATTTTTGAAACCGAATGAAAATCTATAGTAAAGAGTGAGATTTTTTTTCAATCGGAGAAATCCTTGAAAGGATATAATATTTTTACAACTTTTTTGGGATAATATCTATTCGTATAAAACAGAAATAGAAGTTTAAATTTAAACCAGAATTTAAAAATATTGAACACTACAGTTACATACAATAACATGACACAATCCAGCTGGGTAGGCTGGTCGATATCTATACCGATGGTCGAAAGATCGAATCCGTTCAAGAAATGAAATAACACTCTGAAGGAAATTTTGTAGGATCCTGCACCTATCCTGTTAGGCAAGCGGGTAACATCGTTGAGAAAGCATAGATAAACGTTCCAGCATGTCGACAGGATAATATAAGTGAATGAGCGACTTTTTGATTTATTTATAAAAGTTTTAACAGCAGCGAAAATTGTAATTACACAATGTATAAAGAGAGACTACCATTTTGACAGAATTTACTTTTGCAGTTTTTTTGCAAAAGAAATTCTGTCAAAATGGTAGTCTCTCTTTATACATTGTGTAATTACAATTTTCGCTGCTGTTAAAACTTTTATAATTAAATCAAAAAGTCGCTCATTCACTTATATTATTTTCGTTATGTATGGCAGCATATGGGCGCATGTTCGATTCCCCATGGAGGAGGAGGTTGTTTTCCACCTATATCGATATAGATGGAAAACAACAGAACGAGTGAATAAGCACGTCATCGTATGGTAGAAAATACATTAGTTCACTATTTGAAATAGTCTATATGTATACTATACGAAGAATAAAAACACTCGATGGTTATGTCATATTGTCACTATTGAATAGTGCTAATGTAAATTCTGTCGAAATGGTAGTCTCTCTTTATACATTGTGTAATTACAATTTTCGCTGTTGTTAAAACTTTTATAATTATGTCGACAGGAATTTCTTTTTTGATTGGGAATCTGTAAAACTCTGCCAGGGTCCCGTAAGGATCTGACATCAAAATATTAAAGATTTTCGCTAGGGGAATACAGTGTGACAGCAGAGTTAGGTTTGATGTGCTGATCAACAGCATCCAGAGTTCACGATATTTTCCCTCTTCCACGTTGCAGTGTACACCCTACGTATCAACGAGCTTACTTCTTATAGATGAATTTCGTGTTCTGATCTTACAGCAAGAAAGTCAACCATGAAGTACAAAATTATCGAAATATTTTCAATGAGATTCTATGGAACTGACGAATATGTACACTTGAATTTTTGCCATGATTTTATTTAAAAGAAACTTCAGGCCTATGACATACGAAGTTCTCATGTAATCAGTAATTAAAGATATTTTGATAGCTGTTTTTTTATATTCTACTTGCAAAATACATTCGTAACTTTTCATCCTTTCTCAATAAATCAAGTATAATTGTATCTTGATCATCAGCAATTCCGACTCCGATCTTGACTTGAACATCTTTGCCAACTGCATCAGTTGCTAATGCTGCACGATCAAATTGTGTTGCCATTGAAAATAAGATAACAATACCATAATCGCGTGCTGCTATGATAGATGCAGTTTCAGTTAATATAGCATTTGTTGTATTAACAACTAAATCGACACCGGATGTTGATAGTGTATGTTCTTGTATGAATGTAAGTGTTGCTACGACATCTTGTCCATCAAGTTTTTCACATACATCAGCGTAACCCAGATTTCGGCAATCTTCAACTCGTTTTTGACTGATATCAGTCGTAATAATTTTAATTTGTTTGGAATAAATCGATGCACGTATTGCTGCCATTACGGCTATGCCTGATTTTCCACAACCAACAATGTAAACATGTATAAGTTCCTTCTTTTCGCTTTTCTTGTTTTGATCCACCAAACAAGAAATTTCCCGTTGAACTTGGGGCACTATCGATGAAATATCCAATGCAGTCATAACAATATCACGTGGAATATCACTTGGTATTAAGCAATAACGATATGATGGAAATAAAACAGCTGTGCCATGAACTTTAGCTATTTCACCGTCAAACGAATCAACACTTTCTAATTGAAGAGGTATACATGTTAAAGATATTAGTGGCGTGATATCCACGCCTATCTTCAGAGGTTTTTCAATCAATGAACCGATTTCTTTGATTGTTCCAATCAAAACACCACCTGAACTTGTGTATGGATTATGCATTTTCCCTCTCATATTGACAATATTCATTATTTCCTGACAAATTTCTTTTTCATTATCATGAAATTTTACTCTTAAACATGTTGCCGATGTTGAATCTAAACATAGTTGATTAACATCGATCAAAATTTCTGATTGATGTAATAATTTTGGTGTCGAATCAACTTTCCATGCAGCTTGTGGTAAACATTTTGGGACTGAATTGTCAAGTGACTTCCTTTCGATTAGATTATCTTGTGTTGATGATATCAATGTATTTGGACTGCAAACTTGTAATACACGATGAACTCCATAATGATAAAACATATCATTAACACGAGCTGTCGAACGTTTTGTATCATGTACTTCGATTCTTTGACTCATTGGTATATAAACAATACAAGTGAATCTAAAAACAGCAAGCTTCTATTATCAAGAACAATTTATGCACACAAGTGTTCGAAACGAAGAAATGACTGAAGTTTTCGGAATATATTTGGTTTGGATAGTGTCAATTTTAAATCAAATTGAAACAAATGGTGTCTATGAACGCGTTTTTAAGACAAAGATTAAATGTTTTATTTTCCTATTTTTACATATTCAGTAAGTCTATGCAGCTCATACTCAGGCAGAGAAAAACCGAGTCCATGGTTTTTTTATGTTTCGCTCAAAGTCGTCACTTCAATGCGATACTCTGTTAATTTGTTTCCTATTACTTCTCATTTTACAAGACAATAACACGATCGTGCAGTTCACGCATCAAATAAAGTTACCTCAGATGTGGTAACGAATATTTGTTTGACTTTTTCTGTAGCCATAAACGAAAAGATATTAACGGGTGGCTAGACTGATAGCAGGTACACCTATATCAAACAAGATGGCTGCGGCCCTCAGGAGACATCTTCCGATAGCGCCAGCAGTACCGGATATTTGCAGTTGGCAGACAACTACTGCTGGAAGTTTCTTAACTGAAGAAAGCCCATACTATGAATGGACCATAAAGAACGATACCATTTGAATTTTGTGGGTGTCTTGTTGAATTCTCATTAGTGAACCTTGAACTTTATCAATCGTTACATCATGCAACCGTGTAAAAATGACATATTTCATTTCATAACCATAAGATGATCGTTTGTTGAACATAATATAACTATTTCAAACAATCATACAAAAATTTCAAATGCTACTTTGTTTCATTAAGCATTTAGCTTCTGAATGATTTTCCATTCGAAAACAAATCTCAAGGCTCAATAATGAGGCACCGCAAAAAAGGCTCTTTCCAACATGGGTTCTTTAGTTCATCTGTTATTTTAGTAAACAACATATTTTTGTTAAATACAATTGTTAATGCGTGTCGAAGTATATTCGGCAAAAAAAGAATTTCTCTCCTCCCTCAACCATCTTCACATATTGTGACGACAATTGAATTTTCGAATTTCGAATCTTGAATTGATTTTAAAACCCGAAGTCCAAAAAATCTACTTTTCTCTCGTAATTCAGCATATCAGTGCCTAGCATAGACCTTCACAGATACTTGAAGATGATCCTCTCTTGACTATGTGATTACTAGTGATCAATATAAGAAGCATCCTCATGTCCATGCAAGACAACTCTATAGCGTTTCGCATTTTTGCCTGAGAGGCATTGCGTTGAAACCTTTTCATTTCATGAATATAAAAATTCTTATGAAAATGGTTTTTGAGACGTCATCCTTGAATATCAGTGGGTACTACGTCGCATCTACTCAACGGTTGGAATGTTCAGAGTTGTCGTTCTAGCTAAGGAAACAGGGGTTACTATGGAGGTTTTGGCATTTTATCCAGAAAAACTATTTGATCAAGAGACACTTTTAAAAGCAAACTGAAGACGATCATAATGTATTTTTCCACATGCAAAGAAGTATTTTCTCACCTGGACAAAGCTGGTTGGTTTTCATAGTGAATCTTCTCATATCTGATGCGAATGCATTTGCATAACGAAGAAAAGAGTTTCACAACTCTACACTGCCTTAACAAAGAGACGTATTTCCGCTGCTAATGGCAAAGATTCCACTGATCATGTCCTCTAAAGCTTCCCAACTGAATATTAAACTCGAAATATGCAAAAAAATACTGTTCTAATCTGATCTGCATCGTCATCGATCGACTTCAATCGATAAGTGACCTAAAATAAAAAGGAATTCAGTGAGAAAAATAAAAGAATTCTCATTTGTCTTTTAGTCAAAGATACAGTGGCGAATATTGAAGAGGTATCGCCATCAACGGATTCCGATCTACAAACTACCTAAAAATGAAATAAAATTCAGTTAGAAAAAAAACAAGAGAATTTAAAACTTGGGTTGAAATCAATGTAATCCTCTCATCCATTGAAAGTTCATCTTCAGTGAGGGTGTCGAACAAAGATCTGACCTAAAATTAAATAAGTTCAGTTACGTCAAAATAAAAGAAATATTCACCTCCTTTCTCATCCACGAAGTCGTGTTGTTGAGTGAAGAGTGGCCGTCATGGGCGGTATCGAAATAATTGAACACCCCTACGGAAAAATTTCCAAAAAAGAAAATATTATTTTAAATCTCTATTGATATGAACAAAAATTTTTGTGATAATACAAGTTTAACCATCCTCAACGATGTCCATTGTATGAATAATCTAGTAGAAAATCAAGTCACCGGTTATGGTCTAGGCGATGTGTCTTAGTTATTGTGATCGCTACCGTGGTCTATCGTTTGTTTATCGAAATTTTTATGACGATGGACTTCTTTTCATATCAAGTACACGTTCTAGTATCGAATCATGTCGAACCTGATGAGATTCGACAGCTTCCGATCATAATAAGTTTTGGAAATTGCCAACTTTTTATGATCGGATCCGTTCGAAACCGACTGTCCGAATACGTCTGATAAGTGACTTTTGACCTGGATGCGTAAAAGTTTTCGACAACATGAATGATAGAACCGTAAAAAAAATTGTTTCAATGACCAGATCGAGCAATATTGAATAGCACAGTGCAAAAGTTACATGGTCACGATGTTGATTGATTCTCTAGAAGCTATGTTTGAGAAGGTAGCAAAATTGTAAGAGAAGACACATTTTCTCTTCCATATAAGAACGAAGATTTGCGGAAGAGAAATGTTTTTGTCGCTCATAGGACATTGTTTTCGCAGTCCTCTTTTTCCCGTTTTAATTTTCACGGTATTTTTTGTCTATTAATAAAGATAAATTAATTAAACAAAAGCATGTGTATCGTATGAACAGTACGTTTAAAACTAGCTGGATACGCAAACGAGGAATAATCGTAACGTTTAGACATGTTTGCGAGGAAATAAATTCGTTAGTCTGCATCTGTGTATTACCATGTCTAAATTATATAAAAAAAAAATTTGATTTTTATCCATTACATGCAGGGTAATATTTCAGTTGATTTAAAATCCATTTTTATTATAAGTGGTCATGCAAGTAAGAATCACTGTTTCTGAACTATAGAATAGCTAGATAATAAACTTAGAACGACATAGTCCAGTTGAATTGTACTAAACGAATAAAATTTGCAACTTTATTAATCAAGATGCACTTTTCATAGAGAAAAGGATATAATGAAAGTCATTCGCATCACTTGTTTCCATCTGTCTCCTGGAGATTGGAAAACTGGACAGTATAACTCCAGGGCAGTGTTTCCCGACAATTGGTCAGCTGTACCTTCATAAAAATTCTGATATTTATTTTTTATATACTATTGCAATACCCATTATACGGAAGAAAAGATTTTATCTTCGAATGAACATACACATCAAGTATTTTCAATATATAGGAGTTTTCCTGTCTTATAAACGGGCATGATGGAAAACTCAGACCTATACTTGTATCTTATAGATGTCCATGATCTTTTCATGGGTGCTGTCATCGCTGATCGAAACATCGTTGTAACGTCGTTACTCAACGAAGCATTCATTTTTCCCATCATTACGGTCAATGAGCAAAATACGGCATGCATGTCATGACTAAGTCGTCGCTAAAATTCGATAATCGTACACAGCAACACGTACGTTACGCAACAGTTCTATTAGATTGTATATACATCACACAAGGTTAAGATGTTTTTCTCCAATAACGAACTAAATAGCTGATTTTTGCTCATTTATGAGAAAGAATCGATAAATCAATATTCGTCAAGTACAATCTAACAAGGTATCCAAACTATCAGCAACTTCTTGCAAACGATCGCGCCATTCAATCATCCATACAACGTCCAAAGCTACGACTGAAACAGATTCTTTTAAAGGAAATCCAACTAAACTCGATGATTAACTATGCTCAAATGAAATCACGTACACAATCAAGCAAGAAAAGTAACATATACTGCCGGATGAACCGTACGTGCTTGATTAGTTATTTTCTAGTCTCCTTTTCACGCCTGTCTTCCTGAATTCTCAGCTGATCTGTTTTCTAGTTCTAGTCTTTGCACTGCCTGTTCATTCTGTGCCATTTGATCGTAACCAAAAAAAAGGTCAGCAAACTATTTTTTCTTTGTCTTACACTCTATGATGGGCATGTTTCAGGTTGTTTTGAGGGATGAAAACTATTTTTAGACTAGATACCTAGAGTGATATATTTCACTTCAAGTCAACTACACCTCATCTGTGTTTCGTCTATTCGATGCATGCATCAAGAGCATGAATAATATGTCCATATGCTGTCAATAACGATGTAAAGAACTCTAATTCATCTTCTTATCCATTTCAAGAACGAACCAAAGAACCTTACATTAAAATTGTAACAAGTTATACAGAGTGTTTCGAAAATTCAGACTGAAAAAACCCTTGAACGATTCGATCCTTTTGCATGAGTATTTCCAACGTTTCATAGAATGTTATCGAAGGTTTAGATAAATTTCAGTGCAAAATACCTTCTTGATATGTAAGTAAGAATCGATGAAGAGATAAAAAGTGGTCTCAGAAGAAACACTACGCAGTGTCTATCAAGTGTTGGAAAACTCATTTAAATCAATCGAGTCGTTGAAGAGTTTTTCCCGCTTTAATTCCGCCCAAACTTTTGAAACACTCTGTAAAAACGAAACACCTACAAATCGATATTCTCGTCAAAGAAAGGATCAAGGAACAAATTGCTTTGATTTTTGCGAACCGATGGCACAACATTGTTCGGATCATTTAAAGAATGGAAAAGACGGTTTTTTGTTTGTTACACT